GATGGATGCCGCGTTGAGTTTCAGCATTGCGCCGACGTTTCGCAAACATTGCAGTCTGCATCTTCAGGGCTATGAGCTCCGATTCTGAGCTCCGATGTGTGGGGGCAGTCCTTATATACCTTCCCTTGTGGTGGTGGGGGAAGGGGAAGGGGGGGGGAAGTCAGCCAATCATATGTTTTTAATTGATCAGCTGGTCAGCTTGTCTATCGTAGTTAGCAAAGGAAATTATAATACCAAAAATATTCGTTTTTATATGTCAAATATATTTTATATCAAACTTTTTTCTCCATCTATACTCGTTTCTATGATTTGCCTGCGTAAACAACTAAATTTTTAATAGCAAATAGAAGGCCGGAATTTTTGTTGAAAAAAGACCGACGAATTCGGAATCAGCGACCCAATAAATAAAATTCAATGCATTAAAACTTGCAGACAACGAAATTGATATACGATGAGGTTCAGCCCATGGCCTAAATCAATTATTTATGTATTTCATTTGTATTTCTTACCTATGCATTGCCACTGTCCCTTGAATTCAATTTTTCCAGCAGTCCACAATTCCCATGAGACTGAACAATATTTGGAAAGAAAAACTACAAAATACGGTTCACTTTAATTATGTCCACTATGAGCAATTAAATTAATTCAATAAAAAATAATATGTTATTCCAGGCGTTTATGAATCACAATCTCTATTTACGTTCATATCATTATCACTTTTAAAAATGGATGGTGATATAAAAAGAAGGGTTTACTAGATAAATTCCTTCAAGTTATATTAATCTCAGTTTTATTGCAAAAAAGATTGGATGTCACGAGTTTTTAAGGTTAGATGTGAATTCTCAATTATTCATATTTTTTGGCCGACAGACTACGTTAGTCACCCGAAACCTTTTGCCAGTGTAGACACACGCCTCCATACTCTCTCCACTCGATGGCACGACCGGGCTTCCGTACATATTTGCGTAACACTCGTGTTGATCACCTCGTCGTCCAGTGTTCGGTGTGGTTGATTTCAGTGTTTCTCGTGCTTTTTTAAAATGATAATTGAAGATGCCTGCCAAGGGGACACGAAAAAGGAAATTGAAGGAACGTGCATCATTGGAGAAGAACGAAAATATTGGGTGAGAAAATATTGGGTGAGAAGATTAAATAAATTAAATTTAGTTGAACATATAAATTACTCGTGAAATTGTTCTTTACACTCTAAAAAAAGTTACTACTCACTAGTACTGAATTCTACTTGGGAGAAGTTTTCTTGTGAAAAGTTGGGAAACTACTTGTCCCAAGTACTTTTCATGTCCTAGGGTGAAGTACAATATTTGCTAAGCAAGTAGGAAAAGTACTAGGAGGAAGTACTTTTATTACTTCCTGTCAGTATTTTTCTTACTTCTCACAAGTACCTTTGATGCTTGGAGCAAGTAATTTTTCTACTTCTCGCGAGTACTTTTATGACTTGATTCCAGTACTTTTGGTTGGTTATTTTGTTGAGGAATTTCATATCATTAATTATCATTCTCATTATCATTATCATTCTCAGATGACAATTAACAAATTTCATCAAGGGGAGGTTACGATGAGTTTCAAAATCGCGAGATATTGCAGTAAGATTTATTACACATTGATGATCGATTATTTATATATGTTGAAAGACGAAGAATAAGTGGGGAAAAAAACGATTATTTCTTGTTGATTTGCCCCCAAGACCTTGAAAATGAAGAAAAATAGCACGGTGTACTCAATTTTTGACCTACGGATGTATTTTTTCTTAAAAATTTTTGAACAGATGTGTAGGATAACAACTACGAGATAATTTTTTTGAATTCGACTTCTAAATAGGCAATTTTATTCTTTGTCGCATAACGAAATTGCAATTTTTATACAAGATAGCTCAAAAGATTAATACTTCAATTTTTTTTTCAATATAAAATATAACAATTATTTTGAGGATCATTTTACTGGCTATTTCGCATGAATATTACATTTTTTGTTATTAAAAAAAGGACTATTTGGAAATTAAATTTGGAAAAATTAATTGGTAATTGTTATTCTACACATCTTTTGAAAAATTTTGAAAAAAAAATCTCTGTAGCTCGAGAATTTATTACATTGGACTACATTTCAATTTTCAAGCGTTTGAGGGGCAAATGAACAATAAACAATAATTTTATTTGCATTAATTCTTCGTTTTTCAGCGATCTCTAGTGTATGATAAATTTTACTGTAATATTCCGCGAAAATCCATTAGTACTGGATTTGAGTGCTATTACTACTTGTCTCGAGTATTTTTTCTACTTTTGAGAAGTACAGCTCGGTACTCAGTACACGTACTTTTAGTACTGATGATGAGTACAGTTGATACTTGTCACCAGTACCAATTGTACTTGGAGCGTAAAACTTGTATTCAGCCGATTTTCGACTTGAACCAAGTAAAAAAATTACCTTTTCTCCAGAAACCCCTCGGTACTGAATACAAGTAGTTTTTCTACTTATCAGAAGTAATCTTTTTTTAGAGTGTATACATTGCATGCGGTAGAGGTCAAAAAGTATTCAGTGAGAGGTCCACGGGTCGACTTTGTTTGTTTTTAGTTTTTTTGAGTCGTAGAATCGGAATTGGTTTGTGGGGCTTCACCAAACTTTTTACCAGAATTTTCCTGATTTTAATTCAGTTAATGAAATAATTGCACGATAATTTACATTTTTAATTTTTAATTTTTTTCATTTGGAGGATAAATATTATGTTCATATTTTGATGAAAGCAAAACAGTTTTATGGAAACTATCACGCATTCCTGTAATTACGTATCTACTGATTAATTGTGTCAATATTGCTCCTCCTTAATATCTTGTTATTTCAGGCCAATTAAGGATCAAATTTTGTATGCCTCGATAAGTGTCCTTGATAGCCAAAAGATGAGTGTTACCGTTAAAAGAGATCTTCTTTTATTGGAAGAACTCCAGCGAAAAGTTACCTGCCACAGAAAGAGTACTGCGTGCATCAAATAATGGTCGCTCCTCATCCCTGAAAATTCTCGAAGATGGTGCAGAGAAGGATGTTGTCATTGCAAAAACTTCATGTGAGTGAACTACATTTTTTTTTATGAATGCTCAGAATGTTGCAATCAAATATTTTATTGTTGATGTATAAACATCTATACGCGCGGTATTTACATTCTGTGACTCTCGGGTATAAGCTCTCTCGCTCCCGTAATGCCGGAAAAATAAAAAAAAAATCTAAAAAAATCCAAATAAAAAAAAATGAATAAATTAAAAAAATAACAAAAACAAAAAGAATAATTGATACGACAGCAGTAAGTTATCCCGTATTATGTGTAAAGATCATGCGTACGGTACGTTTGTATTTTTGTATGAGTGTATTCATATGATTAATTGGAAAAAAAGGGAAGTCATTACTGAAAATTTCATAAATTCTCAGTAATTATAAAAGAATGAGAATGAATCATATAAATACACTTCTTAAATATTCGAATTTTCGTTTAGAACTTGAGTTAAAGTTGGAGTGTACAGGGCTAACATCGTATACTACACGGAAACAAAAACACCAGAAAAATTATCATACTTGCACCCTCAATTGGGTTTAAAGAACTCTGCCAGGTAAAGTTTATCACGAAGAGTACGAAGCATTAGTAGTTAATCCGGATTTTTTCCACGAAATTGAATGATTTTTTATTGAAAATTTCATCAGAACTATGTTCCTCGTAGCACAGTAAAATAAGTAGGACACTGATTCTTTACAAAATATATTCCCGAAATATTACTGATTCCACAGAATTAAATACTATGCTCTGAGGAATTTCACTGTATGTGAGAATATTGTCGCCAAGAAATGCAGTATTGCAGCATATATTCAATGTATTTTTATCAGTGTTGACACTACATTTCTTTCTGTGCTTGGTGGTTGGAACTACTCAACTATACGGCACGGTAGCGTAACTTGCCCAATAGATGGACGGTTAAGATCGATAGCTGGATGATTGAGGGAGTTTTTTTGGTAAAAAATGGATTCGTCCATCTACTGGACAAGTTACCCTAATTTTCAACTGGATTTATAGAAAACCATTGTCGCATTTTTTCCTCAGTAGAAGGAGATAATGAAACCGAAAATAGTAAGAGAAATTACGTAATTCCACAGATGACCTATTGCAACTGAGGAAGTCCTTGGAGAATGTAAGGAGGCCATTGAAACCAAAGTTAACCTGGGAACCAACGCAGTCGGTGAAGTCTTCAACAATGAAGATTGTTCCTCAGATGGTTAAAGTAAGTATATGTGTTTTATACACGTGGGACAAGAGCTTCATTAGTTCCATTCATTTTGAGAGATATTCACGTTTCGTTTCATGTATGAGTATCTTCGCGTATGTCTAGAACTGTGTCGATAACCCCAGAACATTCATTACAAAAAATAGTAAATTCTGGCTCTTAATTGGTACCAATGGAACCCAAATCTGTGCTTAATCCCAGCTCGTTCGGTTGAATGGTTACAGAGATATAGCAATTTCTCAAAAATAATTTTTTACAAATATATCAAGAACGACTCGACCAATTTCATTTTTTTAAAATCAAACTAATCGTTACGATGATACCTATCCCATCGCATAGCAATGTAACCACCCCGCTGTGCAAAAATTGAATTTTATTGTTATATTTTCATTTCTTCGACCAATTTGCTTATTACCACATTCACTTGACAAATAATCGATATAGAAACTTGAAACTCCGTAGGATTTCAGGTGTTTTGGTAACGAAGTTTGGTATTTTAGATGGACGAAATCGGACGAGTAGTTCCACAGATATTCTTCATATTTCCGGAAATAACTTTATATGTGAACCCATTTTCTTCAATATCTTCCAAATTACTGCTCAGATTCTAGTTTTTCTTTTTTCAAAATACTCATCTGAGCGTCTACGATCGAGATCAGCCAAATTATGAATATCCATCGATACAAAGTTTTTGAGATATTAGCGTTTTTCTCACTTGTGTATAAAATTTTGTGTCGATAGATTAAGTACATATCCGTTATAGAGCCGTTTATCGACAAATCATTTTTTTCCTAAAAAAATGGCACATAGACATTTTTTTATTAATCAACCCATCACCGAACATCCTTAATATCTCGAAAACTGGTTCACTCACATCAATTTTTTCAACACCAAAATATTTTTATGAGATTATCCATCGAATAAAATCAGAAAGTTAAGTAAAAATTGCCATTTTTCATTTTTGAAATAGAATTGCTGTGAATTCATTCGGAAGCTTACTACCAATGGAATTGGTAGGAATAAGAAAATGTAAAGACTAATAATGCATGAAGTAGCGGTGTTTTTCTATCGAAGCACTTCACTCGCATGGATCTCCCGCAAAATCCTCGTCATCTTAAAAGCTCTCAACCATTTCATTTTTTTTCCGCGTACTAAGTTGATGGTTTAAAAAAAAAGTTAACGTATCATTTAACCCAACAGATTTCAGAATACAACAAAGAGAAAAGCGTAGAAGAATCAGACCGTCGCCGCGATTCCGCCATGCAGCAAGATGGAATTCTGCAGAGCCCCAATAGCCGTGAAAACCAGGGAGAAATCGAAGTTGCTTCAGCGAGAGATGAGCCGGTAGCTGTCATCAGAAGCAATGTGCCAGTTTTGCCACATGATGCAGTCAACATTCCTGTCCAGAAGATGCAGGACAAAGAACCAATCCTTCAACAGGGTCAGCCTACTTCTGAATTGTCGAATATTGATGCTCAAGTAAGTTATATTTGCAGCAGGGAATCCTTGGAGGGCTTAAAGCTTGAACACTTCCCTTTCTGCCTCGCAATTAACTCTACACACAACCTTGATACTTCGTTAGTCGCGCCAATAATAACACTGGTTTCAAGCCATTAAAAAATATTCAAAAATTTTCACATCTCATTTCACTTATTGATTTATTTATTGAATGAAATGACATATTCAGAAATTTCTAGAGAAATTTAGGGAAATCTTGCATAAAAGCCAGTAATTACCAGTTTACCAGTAATGATCTCCATAAAAGAAACTCCGAAAAGAAAATAATGAAATTTTTATGTCGAAAATCCATGGCTTGATCCGTGTTACGGAACAGCGCAGCGCTGAATAATTGGAAAAAAATACTTCACTTTGCACTGCCATAAATAATTAATAATAATACTCACAGTCGCAATGTTTTAAACATTTCATTATATACCGAAATCCTGAAGGTCATTGTTAAATCATCTTCATATTGTTTGCATAGGTATTTATTCATTTTTTTGCCATGCAGCTCCGTTTACGGCGCGACCAACGGCGTTCGTAAGTCTTGCGCGACCTCAAGTCAGGATAATATTTTAGCCCTGTTTCGTGAGAGGTGTTTTCACCACTTTGCCTTATTCAGACTATTACGAAAGAGATTTAAGTTCACAAAATCGGTTTGTCAGTGATGACTGCACTAGGGAACGGTAGTTGGGGCACGATAAATGTTGAAAATGATCCTAAAAATTCCACACTTATAAGTGATATAAAGCCTGAAGTTTTCATATCCAATGATAAATAGGGAAAATTTTAGAATAATTAAAATTTTGAAGTCAACTGATAAGTTGGAAGTTGGTAAAATGTCCGGAAGAAAGTGATAATTATTTCGTTCTTGCAATTATTGATGATACATGAATAGTTTGGCTGTCAGAACCGCGCATATTATGCCGATGTTAAAATTTTCATTCCTCTGGACCTATCGCGAATGCACAGGAGTGATATTTCATTACTTCTACTTCAATTACTCATATCAAATGTAACGATTAATCCACCCTGGCCAACGACTGGCATCCAACGCTTGGCTAAGATACCTGATCCCACCTTAACATCCTAAACTTGACGTTCTTCTTGCGAAAAAAATGAGCAGCGGTGGTATTGCAAACAAGCAGGTGACATCGAAAATGTAACAGTGAGGATATACCTACAGATCTGTTGCTGAATGATGTGTTAGGATGTGTAAGGTTTTTTTCGCCATCAATACGTTGATTTTGCAAAAACGTATTAAAATAGGTTGGATAGTTTTAAAGATATTCAAAAACAGTTGGGTATATCGGGACGAAATTGCACACAGAGTTAGTTGCCAATCGTGTTTGATAAAAAAATGGAAAAAAAAATTCTCTCCCTCCACTAGTAGAGACAAATGTATTAATCCATCCGACATAATTTCAAACTAGCAATCGGAACTAGATTTGGAGAAAATAAATACGGAAAATTATCGATGCCGCGCGACGAATTTCGATAAAGAATATAGGTACGAGGGATTGAAATATCTCTCTTATTCACCCCGGTACTTTATTGCTTTTTGGCGCCATGACATTCAGCACAGCACATCATTCCTCATATTTCCAATTTTTTTTCAACTTTTTTTTGATCTCCTAGCAGGATGAAATATTCTATTCATATTAATTCGCACACCCTCTTGATCAATTCATTTCTTGGACATGTTATTTCTATACTTGGGGAGTATTATTAATACACCGAGGTATGAAAAATACTTAAAATGAAAAGTCTCCAAGAACTCAGAAATTTAAAGTGATATATTATTTATGATGCAGATTGATGAATTTCTCCTGTCTTCATCACCACCTGGCGAAGATCTCGCAAAGCTTGCAGATTTACTAGTGCAGAAATCGAAAACTCAGTCGATCCCTTCGCAGGTTTCAAAGAATGATGATAATCAATCCAAGGTAAGTGGGGCCAATATATTTTCATTCTTACTCGTAATGCGCGACTTGAGCATATTTCCGAAAATTATACTTATGCTGAAAAATACATAAATTACACCCTTATAAGGAAATTGAGCTCAATGAAACCACCCTCCCTTTTATCGATAAATTATATTTCGATCGCATTGGTTGTTTATCGATCTTTGAGTGATTATCAGTTGAGCAGTGACCATGAGTCAATCGATTGCCCATTATTCGTCAATTGCTAGTCTCTGCTGGAGCCAATCATTATTGTAGTTATGAGACCACAATAATTCTCAAGGGCTCGCGCTAAGTTAGTTTAAAAAATGTTTAAATACCTTCGAATGCCAAGTAATAATGCATTTGTCATATTCATACAGAAAAAACCTCGAGTTGTTGAAGGACACAGACTGCCATCTGGTGATAATCGTACGGCTCATGTTATGGCAATTACTGGCAAAAAGGCCTTTGCAACAACTTCCGGCGGGAAGAAATCGGTAAGTACATGCGTTTCGATTCTTTGTATAGTATATCACGCAATCAGGGCGTAAATTAAATTTCATTTCAGGCGAGATTTGTAATCACAGGTGTGGAAAACGAAATTTCCGCCTGAATCGTGGACGTTATTTTACTTTATAAAATCTGCTAACCTCTAGTTTACACACACTTGTAACATAAAGTACATGACGCAACTCGTGCGTTAAGTCGGATTGCACAGACTCGTGCGATGTAAAATAATCATAATAAAAGAAAATTTTAAATTCTTTCAGGTGAATCAGTCCAATCCAAAATTCGTGTCGCATCAAAATCCTTCGAGCAGTTCAACGCAGGAAGCTTGCATTGAACAACTCGAAAAAAATCTCAAGGAGTTATCCGAAGAGAATGGAGAGTTGATGAAGGCAAGAGATAGTGATGCAGATGTAATTGAACGATATAAAAAAAATTTTCATAAGCGTAAAACGACGGTAACAAAAGACGATCACCTGGTTGACGTAATAGAGGAGAAAATTGAAGAAACTATTAAAGATGCATTTGCAGAACACCAGCAGCAGCACATTTTTGAAGTAAGAATTAAATTTCCATCTATTAACAGTATCTCACTGCCATTACACATCGTTGAATGTCCGTCATTTTCGGTGCCGAGAAATCCTTCATTCACTTCAATTTCTTTTGGCTCATAAGAATCAACTGCGAAATTAACGAAGTGCAAGATGCATATGTTTCAATTTACCACGTTTATTCACACCCAATCCATAGCTGAAATGTTGTCGCGATTTACAGCTGTGCGTCTTGACTTTGAAATATTTGTCTCAATATTACCTGAACAATACTCTGAACCGACGTCATTTGTTTCGCGGAAAGTCAACCTGTAAGTATGCCGTACATAAGTGAAGTTTTGTTACTTTAGCTGCACTTTTCCATTATTTTTTTTTCTCTCTTCGAACGTCATCGGAACACGTGTTAAATTCAGTTTTTCAACGATTAACTTATTAATTGTGCCCAAGGCTCCTGAATATACCGAATAATGTGCTAGGAAATATCCATGAAATTTGCTGCATTTTTTAGAAATCCAGTCACGAGTCATAATAACCCGAGTACTTGAAAATTCGTATTTTCCGAAACTTGGGTTGCTGAGTCAAACTGTTGCCAAACTGCACGCATACATGCTGCTCAGCAGGGTGACTTAACCCTTCGACGAGAATTGCCGTCTCCCCACCGGCGGGTCAGTCAAGGCTATACGCGTGTGTGTAACATTGAAGATAGCAAAGCCAACGGTAGTACTGTTGGGTCTGGTGCCACGCACCTCGCTCTAGAGATAATCATTGTTCTTATACTACACTTTAAGAGAAATTGTGGTTTATACATGTGATTGATCATTTTCTCTACAAACATGAGTGAAAAACTCCATTCCGAGGAATGTGTAAACCTGAGGCATACGTGTTTCCTATAGTTGTGAAACGATCATGGGTCAGTGCAAGAGGGAAACCCTGTCTGTGACGGTAGTCACTCACACATAGCTGGACCGCACGTGATTGTTTCTTCCCTTTCTTTGATCACACCGATACAGTTTGGTCTCTTACTCTCGGCAGAGGGTTAAGGGGAATACACGATTAATTTTCAAAGTAAGAGGAGTTCTCGGCGAATTATTCTCTCCATTCACATCTCGATCAGCAGGAGCTGCGATTCGATATTCTTTTCCTCACTCTTTTTTATAAATACCGCTGCGCTCTGATGCTCCTTGAATTGTTTCAGATTGAAATCAGTTCAAAAACTCGTTTATTGCTCAGCAACAAGCCGTGTTATAACCGGAAATTACCGCTTATAATACCCGAAGAGCTTCAAAATGATCGGGTATTTCTCGCAAACTTCGTTACATACAAACGATTATTTTTTCCATCCAAATTCCGACCAAAAGAAGCAACGGTTTTGAAATCACGTGGTGTGTATGAAATAGATAATTTTGGGTTATACCACGGCTTTTACTGAGTAATAAAAAAAAACATTTTTTCAGCCAATTTCGTACCACGAAAATGTCAAACCCCCTGCTTCCCCTGCTTCTATGGGTCCGAAAATAATCAGGTATTTCTCTCAATTTCCCTCAAGTTTAGCACGGCCGAACTTCACGCACATGTTTTTGAACAACGAAATATTCGGGAAATACCCGGTAATTTCCAAGCACTCGGGGTATTATAACTGAATATGTCAAGTTTCGCATGTGAAAAAAAATGTTTGTATGCAGGGAGGTTTGTGGAAAATACTTCGATTCATTNTATATAACTGAATATGTCGAGTTTCGCATGTGAAAAAAAATCGTTTGTATGCAGGGAGGTTTGAGGAAAATACTTCGATTCATTTTGAGGCTCGAGGGATATTCGGTGATACGTATATCCATGGTGTTGCATAATTATTTTTTTTATTCAGATTCCCAAAGCTCAGCAAGAATATCTGCTCTCTGATCTGTTCATCAAGAGTCTGCTGAAAGAATTGACCCCACAAGACATGTGCTACAGAGTAGTGCAGAACCTTTGGGATCGGGAGACACGTAATGTAATTCGGTATAACCAGCCTCGGGAGAAACCGAAGGGATTCAGGTTCGTCGACCCCAAGGAAACCCAACTGATGGCCTATTCTCGAAATATTTTCGTGCGCGGAATCGACTCCGTTGACGGAACGCCTATATGATGCCTATACGCAATTCGTCTACCAAGCCACTTCCGTGCACGGAAATATTTCGAGAATAGGCCCCCTGATAACTCGTAAGTTGGACAGCAAAACAACACAAAGAAAAAAAGTTTCTGGTTTAATTAGTTCGCTTAGAATCATACAGTGAAGAATGGGAAAAGAGGCCTCTGTTGACTGTAGCATTGTTCGGTATTAAAGAGATACGCAACCAATGCTGAAGTTCACACCGACCTCTTTCCCAATTTTTTACTGTGCAGTAAAAATTGTACTCAAATTCATGACTTTTTAATGTCTCCAGCACTCTGTGGTACTGCAATAACTGAATTCAACCAGAAATTGATACTGAGAACCAGGGAATTCTTGTCTCTGTGAAAAGTTACAATCCTGGAACGTTCTAGCATATTAGTTTTGTCAGCAGTATTCGTTAGTTGGCGATGTAGTTCAGGTAGTTCAGTTCATCACATTCCAAAATCGTTCTACCATTTTAACTGTAGGCAGATGTAAACTAATTGTTACAAATGTTTCGGTATTAACAGTTTGAAACCTTCCCGTGATTCGTATTTTCAATTACCCAATCCGATTTAGATACACCGATTGTATATATCTGACAGTCCACTCAATGTATTGTCACCATGGAGCTGTATCCGAATTCCAAGTTATATTGTCACTAGTCACAAATATTCGTCATATTTCCATCGATCTCACAACAGCTAATGACATGTTACATAATGGGTAAGTGAAATGTCATGTAATTCATTCGCATCTCTGATTTTGTTACAAATATGTGCATCCGTCTCCTTCAGATTTCATGATGAAATTGCTCTTTGTCGAAGGAGGAACCTTAGCCGAATAGCCCCACTTACGCTCTTACTTCCCGCTACTGAAATCCAGATTCGCTCTTTGGCGAAACTGAATATATTTTGAATTTCACCCGCCTGAAAGAAACCCTTGGCATCGTTCAAAATTAATCCGTACACCACATTGATAGAAGGTTAATGCTGCTACGTTCGGCAAGTTAAGAGAACATATATTGTTCGCACGTAATTTTTTTCTTATATGAAAATGAGAAAAATTATTTGGTTTATAGCATGAAATATACTAAAGTGCGTCGTCTAGCGTGATTAATCGCTATGATTATTATCCTCTAATTACTGAGGATCGATACACATGAAAAACCTCCGTCCCTATCGCGAGTCGCTTGTCTCGATCCCGTTTGACACATGTCTCCATACTCATTCACTCGTCATATAGCTATTAAAAATTTCGATGCTATGGTAATGTTCCCCCTCAAAAAACAACTCAGAGTTCAGTACAATGAGTGTTCAATAATTCGATGATTGACCAGGAATGTTCTCTGATAAGTGATCACTCGAAGTCCAGTACGAGAATTCTTCGATGTTATAGTAATGTTCTTCCCTGATAAAACTTCTTCCCACGGTCCAGTGGGGATATGTAAATTACACGTCTCCACTCTGGTGGCCGAAAGGCAAGTGAAGGCATTGATCAGCTGAGAGAGTTACATCACTGCTCAGTCTTAACTTTTTTCGATCATTTAGTGATGTTTTGGGTTCGACAATTGTCGAGAGTCTAGTACGATAATTATTAGATCTCCCTGCGATCATTGTACGAGGTTTCTACGATGTTTCACAATAAATAGCGGCTCAGATGCGTGGGTGATGTTTGTTTGATGAGGTTTTCGGTTCGACAATTGCCGAAATTCGAGTAGGATAGTTATTAAAATTCTATGCCATCATTTTGTTAAGTTTTTCAATGAGTAATGCTTCAAATGCAAGGGGGATGTTTATTTGATGATATGGTGATGTTTTGGGTCCTACAATCGCCGAAATTCCAATACGATGATCACTCAATTTCTTTGCGACCATTGTAAGAGGTTTATGCGATGTTTTTTAATGGTGGCTCAAATGCAAGGGCGTTGTTTGTTTGATCATATGGTGAGGTTTTCTGTTCGACAATTGCCGAAATTCCAGTACGATAATTATTTAAATTCTGAAAGATCATTCTGCGATGTTTTTCAATCCCCCATGGAAATGAATACATGTTCAAAATATATGAGATATATATGTAATGAATATAATGTATGTATTATATATGAGTCCAATGAAAAACTTGTACATTTTGCTACATATGTACAAAAATATCTGCAAAAATATATGTAATCTATGTATTGCATGTATATTGGATGTATATAAATTTCATATATGAATCATGTATACGTCTTATATGTGTATCATGTATGAATAATATGGAATCATGGGATTCATATATTTTGACATATATTGTGTTCGATGNGAGGTTTTCTGTTCGATAATTGCCGAAATTTCAATGCGATAGTTATTGAAATTCTGTGCGATCATTCGGCGAGGTTTATGCGATATTTTTCAAGGAGTAATGATTCGAATAAAAGGGGATATTTACTCGATAATATAGTGATGTTTTATGCCTGATAATTGTGGAGAGCACAGTACGATAACTATTGTTGGATCTTTATCCGATCATTGTATGAGGTTTCTGCGATGTTTTTCAATCAATGGTGGCTCAGTTACGGGGGCAATGTTTATTTAATGACCTGGTGATGTTTTATAATTTTAGACATATCAACGCCATCTCTTAAACATAAGGATCGAACGATTCCGTCGATAAAGAAGACTAAGTCCAACTAACGGTGACGGATCACCATCTAGTATGTGACGTTGTGGCCAATTGCCGGAATTGAAAAACCTGTGGCCAGTTGCAAATGTGGTCAGTTGACTGTGTTCAGTTGCACCCATCCCGTTCGAAAATCCGTAGCGCGTATATTGTGAGTAAGATAGGGAACGAGCGCTCTATGTATTATACCTCTATGACCGAGATTGTGCGACAATCCCCGATGAAGCGCAAAGTAGGGGTAGCCCATCATTCATCCACCCATGAAAAAATACGAAACCCTCGACGTAAAAATAACCCGCCAATTCCATAAAAATTTTTAAACATCCAAGAATTTTTGCTTTTTGGGCCATAATAAGTCGTGAAATTTCTGTAAGATTTTACTACTTTCAGAAAAATTACGCAACTTTTTCATATTTTTTCGGTGGCAAACCGGAGAATTTACTGAACGTTCCAGATATATTCTCTTCAATTCCTACAAAAACTAGCTACAAAACCATGCACCTCGCTTACGGATTATGTGAATGGTTCCGTAATTTTTATTGAATATTTCTCTCCGTGCAATGAAATTAGTAGAAATGAAAATAGAAAAACAAATCCGTGGAGAGTGCCAGTCATATATAGTCTGTCAAATGACTTCTATCACACTGCTTGTTTTATCAAATCTTATACAAAACAATATTCTGTAAAATATGCTTTACGTTGTTTTATATTTTCAAATATGTTCGTACAGTATTTTTCCGATGCGAAAGCAGATCATTGGTGCCAATCTATATTTATAGTCACTGTGAAGTAGTTCACAGTTGAATTTTTGATAAATAGTCTCAAATTTACTGAATACAACATATGTTTATATGATTGGGCCCGGAGTTGCATCTGCTGTAGTTAAAGAAAATTTATGATTTAGTTACTAGACCGTCAGTTAACGACCATCAGGTAGCCCATGAGGTTTATACATGAACAAATTTATCCCAGAGTATACATATTCAACTATAGTCCATTCGCATTTTTACTGTTACAAACCGACTTGGTATTTTTTTTATTGCTACCATTTTCATTCTTCTTCAATTTTGCTCTTCAACTAAAGTTGAAGCTAAAAATCTTACATTCTATCGCATAATTGGTATTATTTTGGCGCACTTCTGGGCACAATTGTCGCTTAATCGGTCAAGTAGTTTTCGAGATACAGCAATTTCTCAAAGATCTTTTCATCAATATCAAAAACTACGTAATTGAATTCAATTGTCTTTACGTAAAAATGTTCTTAGTCATAACATGTATAAAATCAAATCACAATATTGCAACTAGAGACAATTGGATAATAATCCGCAGTTTTTCATTTTCATGAAATCGTTGTCTACGATAACGCCCTGAAAAATTAAAGTAGGAAGTTGAAATTTAGCTAGGGTTGTAACTCTTATGATATTACAGGATGGGTTTATCAATGGGCCGAAGTGAATGATTAGTTTTTAAGATACTGAACTCTCTGTGAAAAACTGTTTCGCTCAATATCTCTCGAACCACTGGTCCGAGTTTTTTTTATCAAAATACTCGTCATGGTATATTTTACCGAGATCAATGTTCATACAAAGTTTTCGAGATATCAGCGTTTTTCGAACTTTTTTCATTTGAGAGTAAACGTTCCATAATTCGCATGAAACTTGGGATAAACATTTGAGATTCCCTCTGCTAATTGGTATTATTGAGTCACATTTGTGTATAAAATTTTTCGTTAACTGATTCAGTACATCCTAGCGTACAGCAATTCATAAAAAAATCTTTTTTGTAATATCTGCCTGAAAAGTTCATTTTTGGATAGTTATCGAGAAAAGTCGGCGTCAACAATTGAAATGTTAATAACTTTTATTTGTCGGCAAAACGATCTTCAAATTTGGATTTTACGCACCGAAAAACAGAAACATACCGAGTTCATCCGTAGCCCTCAAAATGGATGCTAAATGGTAACTAGCAGATGGACGATTGCTCTTAGTGCAATCAGTCCTTGGTAAAAACTACTATCTGTTAATTCGGAGATAATCCTTGATAGCACCAAACTTCAGCACTGATTTATGATCTCAGTCATCTGTTTAACAAAACCCTCATTCGCTACAGTAATAAATTTCTCATCTTCGGAAAGTTTTATTTTATTCAACACTCCCTCCGCATCGATTCGTATTTTTGCAGATGAATGAAACTCATTCGCTCCGGATATTTCCATAATTGTAGATATGTTATTCGGGGTTACACCACTCCCCGGCATTATGCTAATCCGATCTCCTGCCTTTTTCACCAGCGTTTGGAGGAGCTTCACACCTTCTATCGCTGTATTTTTCTGTCCTGAAGTTAAAAGCCGTTCAAATCTAAGGCTTATTAGATCTTCCAGAGTAGTGAAAGGATCTTCAACCTGGTCAAATGCTCGGTGAAATGTAACTCCTTTCGGTGCAGCTGCAGATATTATTTCTCTGCAAAAATCTTTATGAACTTCGCAGTTTTCCGTTAAAGCTCCGAAGACAAACCCATCGGCACCATTTTGGCTCAGAATTTTGAGATCGAATAGCATCACATCCATCTCTTCTCTTGTGTATACAAAATTTCCGGGCTTTATCCGAATCATGCAGTAGAGCGGAATTTTCGAATATTGCGATTTTATTGCGTGGACCAATCCTGGAGCAGGGGTGAGCCCGCCTTCGGAGGGAGATGCGCAAATTTCCAATCGTGTGGCGCCACCGTTGATGGCGTTGCGTGCAGATTGTAGTGAGTATATCGCAATTTCCATCTTGTTTTTCAAGTTTTTTTTTCTGAAGAAAAAATTTTAAGTGAAGAATTATTGGTAGGTTTTATCAACTGAGAAGCTTACCGGAGTGATTCAGATTAATGGGTAGTTTAATGTCCGGTAGCTGAAAATGTCTCGACTGAGATGGTGACGTGATACTGTATTTTACAATGCAGAGTTCTAGTTATGTTGCTATTATTATATTTTTCCACTTGGCTAGGCTCCCCCACCGAAGCGTGGGCGGTGCTTTGAATGTTTCAGTTGCGTTTCGCAATCAAAGTAGTACTAGTAACAGTACCGCAGATGAATTATCTTATTTTGCTGTACTGCAGACTGCAGCCTCAGTATTGGCACACTGAAGAGATTGTAGTCTTCGGTTCATATTCCCTCACCGTTATGTTATATATGGGACTCGAAGACTACAATCTCACTAGAACGCCTGTAGTTGATTCCGAATTGTTCGCTTCATTTGCGAACGAAATTGTTTCGACGAATATTGCGCCGGTGGCGCGCGAATTGCATTTGTATTTGAAAAAAAAATTAGCGCATTTTATTTATCCGAACTGATAATATCCAAGTACTCTGGCAATTTTTTCCATTCCAATCCTTTCTGACAACTGTAATCAAATATCAAAGCTTCTATTCAAACCTTATTTGGCCCTATCCAGAGATAAAGTCTTTGTACAAATTCTGGTGCTATATATTCTGTGCTTTTTAATAGTATTGGAAAATCACAATCTGCTGGCTATGAAAAATTCTAGTGCTGTTACGTAAAATGCCTGGCAAAAGGTGATTTCGGGGATGGAAAACTCCATATCCACCAGAGCGAAGTTGCTAGCCCTGTAAATGTAGATGAGTGGTCTGATCAGACGCTCTCCCCTCACGGCGGGTACGAAACAAATCGAGTTATGATAACATACAAAAATCTATGATTATAAGATGAAGAATCTTCCTTAGAACAAAAATTGTTTCTTTCCCACAGAAATTAAAATGGTGCCTATAACGACGGTTAAAGAGTTCCTGAAATAAGATTCTTGTTTTATTGGAAATTTCATTTTCCTACATACACTTCGCCAAATAAATTCTGTTCTACCTGAAGTTGGTTCCCCCATTGGGTGGGACCAGGGTTGGGCAAGTAGATTACCGCAGGAAAATTACATGGTTTCTGACTTGTCATAAACTAGTAAATTACATAGGGGATTTTCAATCTATTTGACATGTTGAAAACTCATTTGACGACCTTCATTGACGTGAGCAAAACCGTGATATTTTTTACCTCCCAAGGGTCATACCGAGCAATTGGGAGTGAAGCGAGGGTGAAACATCGCAAAGGTCATACCTCGCGAGGATCAAACGTTTGGATAATGCGGAGGCATAATTCTTGCGAGGTATGTTTCTTGTGACGTTTGGCCTTCGCGGGTCATGACCCTCGTGACCGTATCATCCTTGTGATCATCCAGCCTGCGAGCTTCTACTTTTTGACCGCCGTGATGTTTCGCCTGAACTTTCTGTGAGTAGGTTTATGAAACTTTTTTGACATTTATGACGCTCCAGAGGTAAATTACCGGTATTTGACAAGGTCACGTCGAAAACTACCATCTGCGAAATATACCCAACCCTGGGTGGGCAAAACTTATTTGGCCGAGCGTATAAGGGAGATTCCAGCCCGATTGACCAAATCGTGCGACCTCATAATTTTTCTTCTTTGGGACATCCACAGAGTGTACAGACCTCTGCAAACCAAGCATTTTTCATTTTTTTTCTTGCTCTAGCGTGTATGGTTCACGAGATATGGTCATTTGAAATTTCAAAATTTTTACAAATTCAATTTTTTTTCAAAAAGTCATATCTTTTGACTAAATTATCATATTTTGACAACTCAGTAGCGAAAATGAATCGTCGTAAAGTGTATTTTATGAATAATTTATGTTGAAGAATGTCAAATTGAATTAAATATTTTTTTTGCCTTGCCGAAAGTCAAAAATTTTCAATTTGTCAGGCATGCTCCTGTTTTCTTGCGTGAAAAAAATTGAACCTTACCATGATCCTTATGATTAAAAGAGCAAGGCTTTTGTCTTTTGTTTTCGATTTTCAGCTATCGAGAAAAAGTGAATCGATTTCGTTCTTCGATATGATAATCGACTTTTTGCGTATGAATCGGTCTCTCCAATGATTAAAAAAAAAAAGCAAGGCTTTTTTATCATTTGCTTTCGATTTTCAGCTATCGAGACGAGAAAAAAGGGAATCGATTTGTTTCTTTGATGGTTATGATAATCGATTGCGCATTTCGATTGCGTACGTATTAATCGATTGTGATGTGATCACATAATTTTCCTTTTCACAAAAAAATCGAGACATCAGGTGAGGAAACAAACAGGACGCAGTGAGCATGCGATCGTGAGCATGTCACTGAGTGATGTTTCAATGCTTTCTTCGCCATCAATAAATTGATGGTATGCTTCCGAATGGTTTCAGCATAATAAATTTTTTTCTCTTGGATATTTCTCCCCATTTTTGCTACTTGCGTCTTTCTCGCCCCCCATCGAAACTCTTTCCAACCTCCTGTATTGCATTTGCAAAAGGTTGGAGGATACCCTAAGTTAGGGGAAAACCTGACCAGATAAAGTCGTCCCTTCCGTTACTCGTTATTGCGAATATTTTTTCTAACGTCAAACTGGTATGCAGGCACGCATGAAAAAATTCAATAGAAAACCTAGCGAATTCGCTAAAAAATTCTATAGGAATTTTATGGGATTTCTATAGGATTTCTATTGGAATTCTATTGAAAAATTCTATTTGTTTTTTGCGCTGATTCTATTGGATATTCAATAACAAAAAGTTAATAGATTTCAAATTTCTATTTAAATTTTTCTGTCAGATTTTTTCCATCAGAATTATTGGGCACAAATTTTGTAAGTTTTTTCCACTGGATTTTGTTTTGTTTTGCATTGCAGAATCCGAGTGGAAAAAACTTAGAAAATTAATGCCCAAGCATTCTTATAGAAAACATCTCAAAAGAAAAATTCATACAGAAATTTGAAATCTATTGACTTTCTTTATTGAGTATCCAATAGCATCAGCGCAAAAAACAAATAGAATTGTTCAATAGAATTCCAATAGAAATTCTATAGAAACCCCATAGTATTCCTATAGAATTCTAATAAAATTTTCTAGCGAATTCGCAGGTTTTCTATTGGATTTTTTCATTCGTGAGAAAGCATTGGAACATCACTCAGTGACATGTTCACCATTATATGCTCACTGACATATTATATGCTCGCTGCCCCCTGTTTGTTTTGATGATTTGAAAGTGTAACATTCATTTGGAACAAAAGAACGTGAGTGGGATTTACGCTTGTTTAATCGAAAATGATTGGATATACGTTGCTCTGTTCCAAAAAAAATTGAAAATAATTATTTCGATGAGATTTTTAATACTGAGCACAAATAACGCATTTTTTGGAGATACATCATTTACCTCTGGCAATGGCCGTTTTTGGTAGTTACGGGACTGTTATTAAGCTGTCGATATGTTAATTCATAATTAAATAATTTTGGAACGGTTTGTGGGAGATACGTTTATTTGTTACACCTACAGGTCATAACAACGTATCTCACAAGTGCGTACATTTTCCATTTTTTTGATGATTTGAAAGTTTAACATCTATTTGGAACAAACGAACGTGAGTGGGACTTACGGTTGTTTGAACGAAAATGATTGAAGATATGTTGCTTTGATAAAAAAAAAAATGAAAATGATTATTTCGATAATTTTTCCAATACTGAGCATAAATAGCGCATTTTTTGGAAATATGTCACTTTACTTCTGGAAATGATGGTTTTTTGTAGTTACATGACTCTGTTACTAAGCTGTCGATATGGACAGAAAACAATAACTCTTTGATTTTCATCTCGAGTAATGAATGATTATTCAATTATTGAAAAACATGAACTCAGAAACAAAATCAATGATTTAACGGAATTTCTTATTCATGTACTCTTGATACGAAGAGAGCTCTTCAGGGCTTTGAGCTCGAAGATTTTTGCCTTGTGCATAAAATGNTTTTTATTTTCATCTCGAGTAATGAATGATTATTCAATTATTGAAAAACATGAACTCAGAAACAAAATCAATGATTTAACGGAATTTCTTATTCATGTACTCTTGATACGAAGAGAGCTCTTCAGGGCTTTGAGCTCGAAGATTTTTGCCTTGTGCATAAAATGCACGATCCAGTCAATAGCGCCACGATTCACTTAACTTTAACCGAGGTCTAACCGTGGTTTCCTAATCCAAAAACTGGCCCTCAGCACTAAAGCGCCAATTGTTCGTGAACGCGCGCAACCGCGCGCGTTATAGATCTGAGAATATTATTATAGGAGTGTGAGAATATTATGGGAGAGAAGAAATATCGATGTGTATTTTAATGAATAAAGAGGAGAAAATTGTGTTAAAATTAAGAATTGAAGTGTGTTAAAATTAAGAGGTTTTTATTATTAATACTGCAGTGCCATTTCGTTTTCTTCCTGGTGGATTATTATTAATAACTGCAGTGAATAACTGCAGTGACATTTCGTTGTCTTCCTGGTGGAAATGATGTAAGTAGATTTCTTTCAATATAAATCCTTCGACGTAATAAAAAAGTATAGTAAGAAAAGAAATAATCTTAAAGTTATCGAGTTTTGTACGTGTTTACATACATTCGTTAGCTTCTTTTTCAGTTGGAAAAAAAAGTCGATAGTCGTGAACTACGTAAAGAGAAGAGAAAAGAAAGGGGAAACAATAACTCGTGAATCGTAGAGTAGAATTGCTTCCTTTATTAAAAGTTCAAATATTTCTCCAATTCTCCAGCATCAAAACGAGATTTGATTCATTTATATCGTATCACTTGGTTAGACGATATATTTGACAATTAAACATGATTTGCTTGATTTCATTTTCTACAGCTTTTTTTTCCTATGAGAAAGAGAAGGACAGAGATGAAAATTAGCTGCAATTGATGTTGTTAAAGATCAATTGTTCTTAAATATTGGAAAAATATTTTTCCATTGAATAAAACATATTCTCATGTGATTTTTATTCTTCTCCTTTTTTCAGACCTGGTTTGAAGCAAATACGTGACGGAGGTTTCGAGTTTATCTTGTTATCAACACACCGGAGAGTTTTCCTTTGCTGGCGGAATAATCAATTTGTATCGATGAATGTGGTGATTTATTGAAGAAATTGATGATATTGATGGGATAATTATGATGATGATGTTGATGTTGATGATGTTGATGATAATAATAATGATGATGGTGATGATTTGTCGATGAGGAAGATAACTTTGATTTTT